AAACCTTCTCTCAATTTTGGTCTCAATTCTTCAACCGATTGGCGGACACAATCCGAGAGATTTGGGTCTGAACGATGACATACTCTCATATAAGAAGCTGAGGAAAAATAATTATATACTAAATAATAATATTAAGATAAATATTTTGCTATATTGTATTTTACACGAGAAGCCAGAAAAATATCTACTGATAGAAGTTCGAAACAAAATTTAAACTTGCTTGAAAACAAACTTTGGCAAACTTCTCTTGTATATTAAAAATTACTTCTCATTTATTCAAATTAAGAAATGTTGTCATAATATAACTGAGAACAACAAATAATACATATTGTTCTTATATTTGAGTAATACAGAAACATTGCCAAAAATTCAATATAGTTTTGTTTTGATTTATTTCACTCTATTTTTGATTAAAATTTAGTTAGAACTTGAATCGCTATTTTACTGAGTATGTCTGATTTTTTTTGTTTTTTTATTATATGAAAAACAAACAAAATTAAGAATTATCAAACTATTTGAAGCACTAATTTATGATAATCATTTTTCATAAAAATCTATGTACATACAAGGTGATTCGCGACATTATGTGACATTGAAAATATATTATTCTCAGGTGTTTATTCAAAAAATTCTTCGTTATTTACTGAAAATTATTCTATGAATAAATATTCTACTGACAATGGTCATACATTCTTTTCTTATTCAAATAATTACAAACTTTAATATATCTTTACTTCTGACTAGAATTATAATCTTGAATGATGAAAAAATATTTATAAAAAAATATTATTTGGTTTAGTTATATGATCCATCAATAAATGTGAAAAAGTAGATTTATTTTTCCATATTTACGAGTTTCAATTACTCTCAGTAAGTGCAAGACATTTTATTTTACAACTGCATTAAATCTTTTACTAACCAATCGACATAAAACTGTATAACTAGTTTAGTAGAAAGTTTTAATTAAAATAAAAAAGAATTATTTAACAAAGTATTAAAATTATAAATAATTACTCACGTATTGCAGTTAATTTTCCATTGATTGCTTGCAGAACGTTAAATAAAAATATCAACCACAAATAATTATTTCCCATGATAAAAGATTAAAATTTTAATCACTATTGTGAATTTTTACTGTTTAAAATATTAATTCATACTGAAATTATTAATTGAACGACATGTTGTAGGAAATATTTGTTTTAGTCAGCATTTATTGCTTCTAAACAATTAAAAGTGCAAGTTTGCTAAACCTAGTTATTGTGACATACTTATTAATGTCCACTTGATTGATAAATTTTTAAATTATTAATTTTGCTGCAATTTTTAAAATTGAAACATTTTAAATTAACCTTTTTTTGTACATAGTTATATATATAGTTCATAGTTAGTAATTATTAATAATCAATGAATAATACTCAAGAGTTGTAATTGGAACTTTTACTAGTGGTACACCATTAGAATCTATTAAATTATTTAATATTTTATTTATTTAATTAATTAAACAAATAACTGAGTGATCGGTAGATAAATAATAAAATTATTACCTTAGTCAATAAATAAAAAATATTTTAATTAATATTTTTAATTTCAATTGCATTGCATACATATTGCATTGCAATTGCAAGCAATTTAGTAATTTAACTAAATAATTTAGTAAGTAAATAAATCAGTAAATGAGTGGATGATCAAACAAATAAATGCTGAAGTAAGTTAATAAATAATTTATTTAAATAACAATATTTTATTTGCATCCAAATATAAAAATCTGTGGCCCATCTATTACTTTCCATCATCAACTCGAACTCATGTTAGTTTTGATCCGAGGTTCTGATACGTGCTATTTCTCTTAAAATCTTGAAATTTATTAGTACTTTTATCATAAAAACGTATTTGTAATAAATATATTTTAATAATATCAAAATACACAATTAGTTTATATCATCCACCCAATTAACAAAAGTTCTTAAATAATTTATAAATAGTAGGTATAAAAAATATATAACGTTTCTTGTATTTATATTATAAGGTTCTTACTCTAATTTTTTGCATAATTTTATTTTTATTATTCAGGATACAACTGTTCAAATGTATATCTGTCTATAATTTGGTTCGCAATTCTGATGAACAATTTGGATAAAGCTTTTTCAATAAGTGGTACAATTTCTGTACTCAAAATTTCAATATTGGAGTTTATGGTTTGGTTGATGATGTTACCTAAAATATAAGAAATTAATTGATTTAAAAATTTAAGTCAAATTTATTGTTGGTTTTTCAAATTTACCTAAAGTCTTGTCGCCACCAAAAAGATTCCTGAGATCTATATTACCTTTTCCCAATTTAATTTTGATGTTCATTTTATCAGCATTTAGTATATTTTTACCATCCCGTACAAATGTTTTACCAGTTAACAAAGCTTTTCCAGTAGAATTTGCTAAAAATATAATTGCAATAGTTTTAACCCTTTCCACTCATATGCCGCTACTCCGGGGGCAAAATACGTGTTAATGCTGCATTTAACGAGTGGAAAGGGTTAAGTTGAACCAAATTTTACATATTTATTATTGATAATTTTCACAACTTACTGAAATTTGCGGTAAATGGTCCATTTCCTCGAATAGGTAAGAGCAAAATGTTGCCATCGATGTTGTAGTTACCTTTGGCTTCTATATGTGGTAAAAATACCTCAAAATTGAAGGTCAATGTTTCGAAATCGGCACTGAAATAAATTTTCATAATTATTAAAAAATATGCATAAAGTTTTTATATAGAAATACAAAATTTGGGCATAAAACTAGAAAACTGGCACTAGACTTGTGTAATCACCGTGTCTAGATAATTCTTAGTACAAATTATTGTAACAGAATGGATTACTACAGGATTCATAATTAAACAGATCAAAGATATTTAAAAAAAAAATATGTACCTTATTTTTGTTATATCAAAGTTAGAAGCACCTCGTGCCAAAATATTTGTGGCAGATACTTTTATACCAACAGCAGCACCTCCTGCAAAATTTCCAATCAGCAAATCTCCTACATCCAGAGGTTCTAAGGATGGGACATCCCTTGAAGGATCTCCATTTACAAAAATAGGCTTCAACCCATCAATTGCTCGTTTTATGCATTGGGCTAAATCTTTGTCGTTTCTGGAACATACCTTTAGATATGGAGCTAGAATATAATATATTAATCAAAATTCATTATTATAAAATTATTTTATTCTGATTATAAAAAATCAAACTTGGAAATTTTTACTATCATTATCTTGAACCTGATATTTATAAATCCATTAGAATTAATTTCTAATTCGCGCACCAAAATCGTGAATTTAAGTAGGTATATTATTAACATTTTTCAGTTCATGGCCACTTACTCGTTGATCTTCAATCGAAAACGAAATTATTCAATTTTTCAACATAAGTTGTCTTTATCGCCAGTTTAATTTTATTGATATTTCAACATAATCAGTCTGCCACGTTAAAATTCGAATATTTTTACATAATTGAAATTGAATTTGGATTGAAATCTTTGTGGGTTAAAATAATGGTTTTAGATGAATGGATTTTGGTTTTAGAAATTACAATTATTATGCATAAAATAAAAATTCATAATTTTTGTTGTATTGTTTGTTTGATACGTAGCTACTTGAAATTGTTTTTTTTTTGAGAAATTTATCTAGAATTCCAATCAGTGGTTAATCCTATAGAGCAATTACTTATTCGAATATGCTCATTAAGAGATTTAGAGAATTTTTATCTTAACTTCAAAAAGATACTCCAGATTATGTTTACCAAATTTGTAAATGCTTCTAATACTTATAATTTTCAAAATCATAATTTTTGTATAATATCCAATTTTTCATTAATACATGAACCCAAAATTCCTTAAGTTCAACAATATTAAAAATAGTTTGCAAATAGTGCAAAAAAATACATTGTACATGAACAGAAAACAGGAATAGTTCTATGGTTATTTTGACAAAAAAATTATATTACAGAGTATAAATTTTTTTTTGGATGGAAATCGTTTTTTCTCCCGGATGCAAAATATCTATAAATATTATTTAACACTGAATAATATTGTTTAAATTATACATTACATAAAATAAAAAAACACTAAAATATATCTATAGATGTTATAACATGGTCATCAAAACTTTTTTTTTATTACAATATATGATTTGTGAATATATTACAGCTCACCCAATTCTTCTCCAAAAACAAAATTCCAATTAATTGCTAATATTACTGCTAATAGAACCACAATTTTCATCATGTTGCACTAATTTGAAAATAACTTTCACATATAATTAATAATAATAATCACTAAAGTTGTATATAATTGTTGGAATAAATTTTAAATTTGTGTTTACATACAGATTGATCAGTGATTTATAAGAGAATGGTCCAAACAAAAATATGTCCTTCAACCAATGTTTCATTTCAACATTGACTGGATATTTGGAGGGATCGTTTTTTAACCGACTAGACATTTTATAAAAAAGATACTGGTGTAGAAATAATTACTAATTCTTGATGCAACTTAAAATTTATTTTTATTATTTTGATAACAGCTTAAGATAGTTATTATTTATTTATATAAACCAGTCTCAATAAAATTCGATCAGTTTTCATATATTTGTCAAAGATGCACTATTTTGAAAACCTTGATTAATATGTATTCAAATCTAAATTTCTAAAGTTTTATTTAGTTTTCATTTTTTTCCATAGTAAAATTAGCTCGACACTTTTTTCAAATACACATTTATATTTATTATTAATTTTTTGTGAAACTTTTAGCCCTTATATTTTATTTTAATAGTCCCTTATATTCTATTTTAATAGTACAATTTTAGTGATTGCGATTTTTAGTCTGTATATAAATTTTCTCAAAATGATTGAGAAACTTCTACAATCTAGTGAAATTTTATTGAAAAATTGCAATAGCACATTTTTCAAGACATTTCTGGTTCATCTTTGCATATTAATAAACATTATTTGACTATTATGCAAATTTCTAATATAAAATATTTATAATTTTTTTTATTATTTTTATATCTGCGCCTATTTCAATAAGGAACATCAGTTCTTTAAACAAAAAAACTGCCTTAAAACAGAATCATCAACTTGTATAAATAGGTAATAGGACATTCAATACACAAATTATCATTTTTTAAATTAATTATTTATTAATTTATTTATTTGATCTCTATACGGAAAAGTTATAAGTTTATGTTGTCCTTTACAAAATTTTAGTTTTATTCATTACTCCAGGAACATTTAATGTATCCAATCAATTATAAATATCGTAGGGCAATCAGTAAAACGACCTGGTTTAAAAATTGGGCGTTTATTAAGAAACCGATTTTTTTTTTATTTTATTTTTTTTATTGGCCTCGCTTACATAGAGCATTTAGCCACCTACAAGATTTCACATTTTTTATTCATTATTTTTTTTTAAATTCATTTTCTTACTTAACTTTCTATGCAATTTTAAATCAACAATACAAATTCTAATTAAGTCAATTCAATAAGTAATTTAATTCAACATTTCAAATTCTAAATCAAGACATTATTTACTTCCTTTTACTTTTATATCAATTTTACCGACTTTTCTTTCTTCTGAATCCATCTTCTTTATCTTCAATTTTTACATACTTTGATCATGCTACCTATGAGTTATGTCCGCCACACCGAAATTTTATATTTAATAATAAATATAATTATTATAAACCCTTTTTATATAAAAAATAAAAACATCATGAATGTTTAATTATCTTTATAAAAAGTTGTTATAAAAAATTGACAATATTTTACGTCGGCTTTGATATTTATCATTCATAATTTTTTTCATATAAAATTATTCAATATTTTTTCCAGAATCTTCATTTTATAACTATTCCTTCTAAATTTCTCTAAATCATTTTTACGTTCCAACAATGAATCCACGTTGGTGAATATGACCATTGTGGTTATAATTATAATAATAAATTATATCCAGCAAATTGCAAAATGAAACAAATGTATAATTTTATAGTATACTATATTTTTTATGGCACATTGAAATAATATTTACAATAACTCGATTACTCATAAAAGTAATGAGCATGTTTCTATAATAAAGTCTTTATTTGAAATTGGATTGTCTAAGTTCAAATAGATCAGCAGTTCGTATTTTCTTAAGCTCTTGGTAAATGAGCACCTTCGGCACGGTAACCGTTCTCATCGGCGACAAAGTTGACGGTGTAATGTTGACCATCATCTCCTACAAAGGTGTATGATCCACGGACACTGAGGGCTTCATTTTCGGTTCCAGCATTCTTAAGTTCAGCTTGTTCTTGGCGACTGGTTCCATCACTGGTGTCAACTGCAAATTTGTATCCATCTGTTCCCAAATTGTCGAATTCGTAACGGGTTACGGTGGCGTCTTTGCCATGTTGGGGGGCTGAAGCGACGAGGGCCACGAGGGCGGCGAGGACAATGATCTGGAAATAAATGTTTTTATTGAAATCATTATGGAAAACAATATACTTCTAAAACAACCATTTGACAGTGAAGCAAATTCGAAAAATTTAAGTGCTGCAAGACTTGTGGTGGTGAAATTCTTTACACCAAATTATTGTCCATTGAATATCTACACATTGATCTAATAGAGTTAATTCTCGTTTTTATTAGAAAAATTGTTTTGTTCAAATAATTATTCTTATAATCAACTAATTCCATTTAGAAAGTACTCAAACAATAACGAAACTTCTTCTTACCATTTTCATTTTGATATTAGGTTTTTTTCCGTGTATCGGAGATGAGTTGTAAAGATAAACTGTGATGAACATCCAACGAATCTGCCATTTATATACAAATCTTTGTCAATGGCGTCATCAATCGAATCCATCGTCTCTGGATACTTAACATTTATACTTGACATGAGTAACCACTGACACAAAAATTAGATCTGGGTAACGAAAGCGAATTTATTAACATTTGAGTAATTTAAATAAATTATGAAATTCCTACTGTTATATAATCGGGGTAAAATATTTTATATTGTTCATCTCTACTTGTGTACAATATAATATATTGTATTGGATGTAAATTATTATACAAACTCTGATCTAAATATTAGCAATGCATAGTGCTTTATTTGTGACAAATCATTAATCTTACATTTTTTATATAATTTTCCAATGAGAAAGATTAATTTAAATAGTTATTATTAATTATTTTATTAAAAATATTTCATTCTCCGAATTACTTACACAAGGTCTTACTACAATTATAAATAATAATTATATATTTTAATTATTAATGAGAAGACAAATAGATATAAATATTATGAATAATAAATTTAATCGGTGTTTAAATATTTAATTCAAAATTTTTAAATATTTAAGTCAAAACTTCAACGACTAAAAAAAATATATTTCTGAGAAACTTAACTAAAATTTTAAACATATTTTTTTAATTTATATGACAAAACTTTTGCATTCTTAAGACTATCTTAATCATTAATTTCAAGTTAATTATTAATTTCAGACGATTATTAATTCGCTGTTCTTTCTTTTGCTTTAATCCATTCTATATCATCAATATACTTAAAAATGTCATTAAAATTCTCAAAAGTATAGTCGACCACTAAAACTTGATGAAATGTAAATGTTTAATTTATTCTATATAACTATTCCAATTATAAAAGGTATTACAGATGTGATAATTTATAAACTAGTTGAAAAAAACTCGTATGATGGTGTGATTGATAATGGATATGGAAGAAAATAATTTTGAGTATAAAACTTAAATTATATCTTTTTTCTCAGAGGTTTCGGGTTCAAGACCCGATTTGAGCTACCTGTTATCAAGCAGTAGTGACAACAGTTTTTTTTTGGATCTATCCATATAATTTTTTACCCTTTTTTTCCTTTTTGTAGAAATTCTCAAACAAATGTATTTTGTATTTGAAGTAGAAGAATCACTGGCTACTTCTACTATTGTCATATTATCTAGTAAGTAATTTGATAATAAGTACTATTATCAAATTTACTAGATGTCGACTAAAGACTTGTAAATTACTTGGAGAAATGAAAAAAAAGTTTTTACTCGGAAATATAGATAGCAAAATATTTCCAAGTGAAAATAGTTCTTAATTGGGCATTGCTGCACCAATAAAAACCCAGCCCTATTAGATTAATTTTAATTATAATAATCATCAAATATGGATAGATTTACCATTGGGTTACCATCTAAAAATACGAAGTAAGGAGAAGTTTCAGCCTAACAGCTCATAGAACATAAGGTTCTGATTGCTGCTAAGATATTAGAAAGAAAAAAAACTTATTTCGTGATACCAGAAATGTTATTGCAATATTTAGGTGTTTGAAACTTAGGGATAAATATATATTGTTACATTTCTCTGGTAATAAGTAAAATATAGGAATGGTTCCTCAGGGCATTGATCACATCTGTGCACAAGAAAGAAGTGTGTAAAAATAGACAAAGAAATTGGATATGAAAATAAAAATTATATGTTAAAAATCAATACGATTGAATCTCAATTAAATATATTTCGAACGCCATGTATTTTTTTTATTTTTTTTTTAATTTTTAATTTTTTATTATATTATTTTTTTGTATTGGGATATAAATTAAATAAGTGGCTAAATGCTCTAACCAGATTAATAAAAAGAAATTTTCTCCATGGTTAGGAAAACTCATACTTTGCGGTAGTTTTTTTTTTAATTTGAGCTTATACAAATGCGTTCAAGTCAACGTTAACTATAATGAACTATTTTTTTTTTAAATTTACTATATGTTACACCAGACAATGTGTCTGACATGCAATGTATGTATGAACATACATCTTAATAAATGACAAAGATGAGTAACGCTTGTGACTTTCACTGTTCTGAAATAAATTTGAGTAGTTTTTATAAATGAATTTATAAAGACATATTTAATTGCAATTGTATTTATTATTGCTTAACATTATATTTACATCATAATATTAAGAATAACGAAAAATTACTAGTTCTTCAATTTTTTTTTAATTTTATTATCTAATGGCACTTTATTTTTGTACTTAAAGATGTTACTAATAACAGTAATAAAATCTATAAGGTCACTTTTTCAATAGTCTCTAATGTCTTGATTAAAATTAACTAAATGCATCAGTTTGGTACGATTGATTAGTTGTCTTAGGCTTGGGGCAAATGAGCACCTTCGGCACGGTAACCGTTCTCATCAGCAACAAAGTTGACAGTGTATTGTTGACCATCATCTCCT